GCCGGGGCTGGCACCTGCCGCATGCCCGGGGGCGGGGCCAGCCCAGATTGCTCTGCGGGTGCACATAAAGGGCCCAGCGGACGCCATGGCACCCGCGGGCACCGGGTTGGGGACCACGGAGCTAGACTAAAGAGCTTTTCTGGGATACGAAAGGTATCCCAGTAAAGCTCTGCCATGTCCAAGGAACGCATCTGCTTTTCCAAAAAAAATTTGGAAAAGCAGACACATTTTTTCAGCATCTCTGTGAACCTCTTTCTGTGAGGAAGAAGGGATGTTCTGAAAGAGGGTTTTTTTTTCCGACATTTGGCTCCATGAAGACAATTCAAATGTCGGAAAAGCCTCTTTCGGAAGAAAAGTGGAAAAAGATACGCAAATTGCTGTTCAGTTTGTCTGTCTTTTTTCGACTTTTCTTTCTAGTGTAGACACAGCCTAAGTGTACAGGAGCTCTGAGTGTGCTGTTGTGGCCAAAAAGCTAATACAGTCTTAAGATGAATAAATGGGGGGGGTCTCAGTTAGAAGGAGAGAACTATTTTACGGTTATATTTGGCAGTGGTTTGACCACTGCTGGAAAAGTTCTGGTGTCTGTAAATCAAGAAAGATGTTAATTAATTGGTGAGGGTTTAGAAAATATCCACAGAAATGGATAAAGGATTATAAAACATGCCTGTAAGGCTATGTGTAGACTATGTGGAAGATTCGAAAGAGGATATGCAAATTCTCCGGGAATTTGCATATCTTCTTCTGATCTCACTTTCGAAAGCGGAGCTTTCAAAAGTGAAAGTACTCGGAATGTGGCTTTTTCAGCAACCCCCCCCCTTTTTCGAAAAGCCGCTTTTCCTCAAAAAATGAGGTTTAGGCGGCTTTTCGAAAAAAGGGGGATTGCCAAAAAAGCAACGTCCCAACTACTTTCACTTTTTAAATTTGCACTTTTGAATGTGAAAGAAGATAGGCAAATTCCTGGTGAATTTGCATATCCTCTTTCAAATCTTCCGCATAGTCTAGACAGGCCCCTAGAGAGAGACTCAAAGAGCTCAATCGATTTAACTCAGCAAAGAGAAGGTTAATGGGTGACTTGATCACAATGTATAAGTACCTGCATGGGAAATACTTAATGATGTGCACTTCAATATATCTGTGACAGGTGTAACACGATCCAAGGGCTAGAAGATGAAGCAAAACAAATGCAGAGTGGAAACAAGGTGTACATTTTTACCAGTGACAGTAATTAACCATTGGAACAATTAGCCAAGGGTTATGATGGATCCTCTACTGCTGACAATTTTAAAATCAAGATTAGATATTTTTACTGAAAGATCTGCTCTAGGAATTACATTGGGGAAGTTCTATAGACTGTGCCACACAGGAGATTAGTCTATGTTATCATTATGGTAAATGGTCCCTTTTAGCCTTGAAATCCGTGGACCAATGAATCTATTCCAGGTGGAGGCAAAATACAGTTCATGAGCTGTATCCAGCCCACCACAATACTCTGGGTCATCAACATATTCTGACCCGACAGGGCCCCTGGGCACACTCCCTGCCTGCTGCGCCTCCACACGCCATCCAAAACAGCCTGCCCCCTCCTAGGAGTTGAGGGAGGGACATGTTGCTGCTTCGAGGGAGCCCTGTGGAGCCAGGTAAAGAGCCAGCAGTCCCACCACCCCCCTCACCCAGAATCAGCAGGGGTCCTGGGCTGCATGTTGCCACATTCCCCAGCATGAGCAGGTGTCCTGCACTGGCCTCTTCCCGAGATTTAGTCACGGACATATAGTACAAGTCATGGACAGGTCATGTGCAGTGAATTTTTGTTTACTCTCTGTGACTGGTCCATGACTTTTACTCAAAATGCCCATGACTAAAACAGAGCCTTAGCTATCGTTAATTTTTAGTTCTGTGTTCCATTTCTCTTTATCCATTAGGACAAGGCATAATAAAGAATTCAACCATGATAGCTGCAACCTTTCTTGGGCTGAGAAAATGCCATCTATTGAGACATTCAGGGATGTTTGACAGCATGGCTGGGTCTAGACTACATGCCTCTGTCGGCAGAGGCATGTAGATTAGACAGATCGGCAGAGGGAAATGAAGCCGCGATTAAAATAATCGCGGCTTCATTTAAATTTAAATGGCTGCCCCGCTCTGCCGATCAGCTGTTTGTCGGCAGATCGGGGCAGTCTGGACGCGCCGCGTCGACAAAGAAGCCTTTCTTGATCGACACAGGTATGCCTCGTGTGGGCGGAGGAATGTAGATTAGACAGATCGGCAGAGGGAAATGAAGCCGCGATTCAAAGAAGCCTTTCTTGATCGGCACAGGTATGCCTCGTGAAACCAGGTTTACCTGTGCCGATCAAGAAAGGCTTCTTTGTTGACGCGGCGCGTCCAGACTGCCCCGATCTGCTGACAAACAGCTGATCGGCAGAGCGGGGCAGCCATTTAAATTTAAATGAAGCCGCGATTATTTTAATCGCGGCTTCATTTCCCTCTGCCGATCTGTCTAGACTACATGCCTCCGTCGACGGAGGCATGTAGTTTAGACGTACCCCATGTGTCCTCTAGCCTATATCACTCAAATTGAAGTTCCTGAGGATCACACAGCTTTTTTTTTCTGTGCATTATAGATAGGTGCATAAGGAGGTGGTCATACTGTTCCCTAGTGTGAGCTGTAACAGACACCAGCTAATACTCCAATGTGTGCTTTATCTGTTAGGACAGTGACTCATAAGCATTCAAGATAATTTTCTTCCAAGTTATCCATGACTCAGAAACAGGTAAGGCCTTTTTTGACATAGACTGCTATTCCCTCTCTCCTTTTATTCACTTGATCCTTCCTAATTAGATTATAACCATTTATTATAACCTTCCAATTGTGCAAACCATCTTGCCAAGGCGCAGTCAAATTTATCCTCATAAATGAGCAATTCCAATTCCTCTTGTTTATTACCCTGGCTACTAGTGTTGATGTAAAGGCAATTAAATAATTTGTTTTCCTCATGCTGTTTGGATCCTTGATTAATTTTGTTCTCCTCATCTCAGCTTTGTGCTGAATGCTCAGATCTTCCCTCTCTTTATGCTTTTCTTTTGCTAATGGTTTACTGCCTCCTGACTACTCTAGCCAGTCTGTCCCTGGGTAAATTGATCCCCTTTCTTCTAAAGTAGAGGCCATCCAAGCTATATAGCTAGTTCTCCTCACAGAAGGTGGATAACCGTTCCACAGAGCCAAAACTTTCACTGCTTACTTAGCAAGTGGTTCACTTCCATAATCTTCTGCCTTCTCACTTCCTTCTCTTGTGGGACAGCAAGGATCTTAGAGAAGACTGCCTGAACAATCTTCTTCTTCAGCAAGTTTGAGTTCCCTGGAGTCATCTACTGTCTGTGGGTACGTCTACACTAGCCCCCTAGGTCGATCTAGGGAGGCTAATGAGGGCGACCGAAATTGCAAATCAAGCCCAGGATTTAAATATCCCGCACTTGATTTGCATGTTCCCGGCCGGTCGCCATTTTAGAAATTGACTAGCCCGAAGTAACTGCCCACATCTACACACGGCAGTGAAACGGGATTCTGATTTAAAGCCCCTAAATCGAATTAGCTGGTAAACCTCATTGCAGGACTTTGAGTTAGGGCTTTAAATCGGAATCCTGCCATCTATATGTGTGTGCCATACATCTCTGTATCCCCTTAGATCGACTGGATCTGGAGAGGTATCTTCCATAGTTTTCATGTTTGTGACCTGGTATCAAACACGGCAGTGAAACGGGATTCTGATTTAAAGCCCCTAAATCGAATTAGCTGGTAAACCTCATTGCAGGACTTTGAGTTAGGGCTTTAAATCGGAATCCTGCCATCTATATGTGTGTGCCATACATCTCTGTATCCCCTTAGATCGACTGGATCTGGAGAGGTATCTTCCATAGTTTTCATGTTTGTGACCTGGTATCAATTTGACCTCTTCTCTGTCCTGAGCCCATCCTCATCTGGCTACAGCTATGCTGATTGCCTCCAAGACTTCTTGCCTCTTGAGATTATGAACTCCAAGACCTCTCCTTTATTTTGTCTCTTCTTTGACTTCCTCTTTCTCTGATTCCGTGGTGGCCAGCCCCAGTCTTCTTTGAAACTGGGGTTCTAATACTGGCTGGCAAGAAAGGCCCCAACAAACTCATGTAAGATGTGGACATCGAGTGTAGTCTGCTGCACTTGAAAAGATCCCCAAGAGCAATTTACCAGCAAGAGCCATGATAATGAATATTCTCTGCCTGCTCTGAAGCAAACAAGAGCCATGGTAACAGAACCTCTCACTTGCACATGAAGGCAAGGCTCCCAAGTCTTCCTCCAGCTACATCATAGACCTAGAAAGGCTGCTTTGCTTGACCTCCTCCCAAGTCTTGAAGAGAGACAATGCACTACATCAACTCTCTCAGCACAGACTACAGCAAAAGGTGCCTGCAATAATAAGGAAACCTACCCAGGAAAATGTGGGTCCCTTTAATGTCCTTAGACAGAGGAACCTGTCCCAAAATCCGTTTAGGCAAATGTCCATATTACCACATAAAATATCAAACATCTTGTGTCCGCTTAGCTTGATAAGAGTCAACCATGTGCTGCAGAGGTTGAACTGGGGGTAGGCCAGTGTAGCCAAGGCCCTTGTGATTTTACCACCAGATTATATAAAGTGGTGGTAAAAACCAGTATTGCCTATAGTAAGGCTCCCCATAGTGAGAATATTTTTGTAATAAGCAGAGCAAGTCCCTCTGCTTGACTAGTGAGTGTTCATGAACATCTGTACAAAATTAAAAATCTAAAAGCCATACGAGGTATACAAAGGTGGGGCAGGATGGCTACTTTTAGATCTGCAAAGGTGGGATCATCTGCTTTTGCGGAAAAACTTGCCAGCTGTCTACACTGGCCGCTTGAATTTCCGGAAGAGCACTGACGATCTCATGTAAGATTGTCAGTGCTTTTCCGGAAATACTATTCTGCTCCCGTTCGGGCAAAAGTCTTTTTCCGAAAGACTTTTGCGCAAAAGGGCCAGTATAGACAGCACAGTACTATTTTCCACAAAAAAGCCCCAATCGCGAAAATGGCGATCGGGGCTTTTTGGCGGAAAACCGCGTCTAGATTGGCTTCCGCAAAAAGTGCTTTTGCGGAAAAGCATCCTGCCAATCTAGACGCGCTTTTCCGAAAATGCTTTTAACGGAAAACTTTTCTGTTAAAAGCATTTTCGGAAAATCATGCCAGTGTAGACGTAGCCTTTAAGTCTTTCTTGTGCTGTCTTATTTTTCATCTCTTAATTGTCATGTTAAATGGACCACCAGAAGGGTCAATTAAGCACATTCCTCTGTATATTTGTTTTCTTTACCAACATGTAGCATAAAATACCTAAACTTATTTGTTTGGATGCGGGTAATAAATATAAAGTGATTTTGGAGCCAGACTTCCTATGTTAAGTTTGAACCAGACCATGTTTTATAGTCAATTACAAAGCCCTTGGAAAAGTGGGTTAATAATGAAATCACAGATACAATTGTAAGTGTAGTACTAGTGGGTATCATGGTAACTGTGTATTATGAAGCAAGGTATTTGACTCTAGTGTATTTGGGCACAAGTATATGGAGTTCTCTAGGTATTTTGTTTGAAAGATATCCCAAACCCTAGTTCAGCAAAGCACTTAAGCGCATTCTTTAAAAAAGCCCTGCTGACCTCCATGGGTCTTAGCACATGCTTAGTATTAAAGTCGTGCTTAAGTGCTTTGTTGGATTGGCGCCCGAGTAGATCCTCCTGAAAAGAAAGTGATTTTCAATCTAATAAGGTTATCTCGGTGTGAATATTTTAACTACATAAATCAATGTGCCCAGCAGTAGTAGATGACTAATGGGATTATTCTTTCTTTCTTTGTTACCAGAATGATGAATTGACTTTGCCTGTTGCTGAAGATTTTCATCTCCTTAATGCATTGCAGATATGTCGAGAGGACACCAGCTGTCAGAGGCCAGCAGCAGCCATCCCCAACCGAGACCATCTCCGTCTCTCTCTAGGGGTGTTTCATCCGATTCTCAGTCTGCTAGTATGCGCCTCACTGTAGAAAATGTTAAAAGGCTAGAAAAAGAGTATTTGTCTGTAAAAGGAGTTCTTAGTAACCAGTCCATAGAGGAATATGTTAAGCAGAGTAATCTCAGTTTGCTGGAGAGAGCTAGAAGTGGGGAAGTCAACAGCAGACACGTCCCAGATGATGAAAATGCAGACAGAGCCACATCCTTCCTTTCAAGAGACCTGGATAAAAAGTGCAGAGAAACTCACTTGGAAAAGACTGAAGAAACCTCACACAAAGGCAACTTATTGACAGGTATTTTGGCTGGGTGTGGGATTTTTTTTTTTTTTTTATCCTTTTAAAGAATTTCTTCAAACACAGAAAACAGGGTTATCAAATGTGGGTGTTGAAATAGAGAAGGCTTTTTGCACGTGCTCAGTGCTGATCTAAATGTTCCCAGTGTTAACACCAGTAAAACTTGTCTACACTACAAGTTTTTGCAGCAGAAAATATGCTAATGAGGGACTCATTAGTATGAGCCATGATGTAATTAGCATATTTTCTGCTGTTTCTTTAGGAGAGGCATAAGGATCTTTAGAAAGCGGCTACACTGCTTCCTTTTGCGCAAAAAACCCTTGGGGAAAAAGAAACAGCAGAAAATATGCTAATGACATCGTGACTCATGCTAATGAGTCCCTCATTAGCATATTTTTTGCCACAAAAACTTATAATGTAAATGTAACCCCCATGATTTGGGTGGGAGGAGCAGAGTTAGGCCAACGCTAAGTATTTTAGAAATCCCACCTATGAGCACTTATATCCAGATTTAGGCACCTCACTTTAGGTAGTCAGCTCTGGGAAATGGACCCAGAGTTGCTACATAAACAGATGGATTCTTTGCATTAGATGTATTAGGTAGAGAAGGGTGTTGGGCTATGAGGGCAGGGTCAGAATCTAAACCTGAACCCAAATCTGAATTTCACATAGAGGGATTTTCAAAAGTGCTCTGTGCTAGCTGAGTTAGGGCAAATCCCATCTCATCCATACAAAGGGCCAAACTGACACCTTGGAACTCTCAAAGGGCTTGAAATCCAGATGTGAATTTTGTGGCTTATGACCATTTGGAACTTAACAAGTCATTCTGTTTCATGCAACCACCAGCAAATTCATAAAAAAAATAATGTCAGGTGATGATACTATCCTAAATCTGTTTGATTGCATTCTTTAGCTTTATACCCAGCCGTCAGCAGTATTTTATTGCCTGTCAGGCAATCCAGCCAACCATATAAGGCAGAAAGCTGAGGGAATACGAGTTGTTAATCTTTATTTATTATTAAAGTACCTCTTCTGTCATACAAATCTAGTTTTCTTTTACTCACTACTGTGTGACACTACTTTCAACCCCTTTTATTTCACTGTAGTCCCCATTCTGGAGTCACTTACCTGTATCTTATTGTCTTTAAAACTGGTAGTAAGAAATACCCAATTCTCTGCTCCCTTATACCAGTGTAAATCAGAAGCAACTTCATTGAATTAATTGGTTTTCAACAAGTGAAACCCAGAGAGCTAATGAAAAACCAGGTCCTGCATTATAAATGCACCAGCTCACATACAATAATATTTTACAGATATGGGATTAAAATTCCAAATTTATTTTGCAGTGGGTTGGTCACATATGGTCGATTACTACACTTCTATGTAATTGTACCTACTAAATCAGTTAAAATAAACATGATTAAGATTGCAAAGTCAATCACTCAAAAATTAGAAAATGTGGTAAAAATGGTATGTGATCACATAATTAAAGACTGTATCATAATGCATATATATACACATATGCCAAATTAAAGCGGCAGAGTCAACCTTAATTCTGGCATTTCCTGATTTTTGAGAGTTTAACTTTACAATATTAATAAAGTTCTTTACATATAGAGGTGGAGTATATAATTTGGGAGAAGGGTATATAATTTTCCAGATTTTTTAAAGAGCAATTAAAAAACATAAATTTAACACTCACTTGGGTTGATGTCAGGACTGAAACTTGCAAGTTCCCTGCACAAACCTCTGCCACTTGGGGTAATGGAATAACTGATATCAATGGTAAGTTGTTACCTTTTAGTGGACCAGCACTAGAGGAGAATGAGAGAGACATTTTGCCAGTGAATTTCAAGACATTTGATGGGAGCAGAGGAATAGTGAGATTCAGAATCCTTGTTCAGTTCCAGGCTCTGTAGGGAAGTGTTCAGTAAGGACATGTCTACACAGCAGGGCTAAAGCCAAAATAAGCTATACAACCTGACTTATGTCAATTGTACAGCTTAAGTCGAAAGAGCTTATTTCAGCTTTTGGTGCTGTCTACAAAGCAGGAAATCGGAGAAAGAGCAGTCTTCCTCCAACTTCCCTTACTCCTAATAAAATGAGGGTTATAAGAGTCAGAGTAAGAAGTCCTCCAGCTCAACATTATTTTGACATTATGTTGAAATAACTGCTTGTAGTGTAGACACGAACTATGTTATTTCAGAATAACATCAGTTATTCCAAAAAAAAACCCACTGCTTCAGAATAACATCAGTTATTCAAAAAAAAAAAAACCACTGCAGTGTAGACATACCTTAATAGGCCCAGACTTTTCTGTCTGTTCCCTTCAAACTTGACCCTTTCTGTCCTATCCCCTTCAACCTGTCCATGCCCTATCTTATCTCTTCTCCACTTCTGGTTCCTCATCCCAGTCTGTTCTCAAGGCTGCTCAGCCAACATCTCCTAGTTGCACCCTCAGCAAGTTTGCGGACGTCACTAAGCTAGGGGGAGAGGTATATATGTTGGAGGGCAGGGATAGGGTACAGAGTGACCTAGACAGATTAGAGGATTGGGCCAAAAGAAACAATTGTCTTGCCTCCA